CCAAAATTTATAACTTCAATTATAAACAATTATTGCTTAGCCCAGCTGACGTTAATTAGCTTATTTTATTATTTTGACTGCGCACACAAAAACTGAAAGCAAAACTTTTGTTTTTGTTCTATTGGAGAATTCGAAATGAAAGTTAAACATTTAAAGCTGTTCCAACAGCGCCATAAGTATGATAAACAAGCAAATTCTTTTCAAAGTTGGCATTGAACTGCTTTTCATGAAATAGAACCTGTATAAGAAAGGTTTTCATTATCATATTGATTAGCTTCATTTTATAAATTTGAATTGTTAATTAGATATATGTGTTATGTGAATTTCTATAGTTGTCATATAGCTTCTGATAACAAATATTTCTTATTAACAAAAGGCACAAAGCTATGTGAAGTTGTATTGTTAGGATAACAAATATAACTTTAAATAACAAATATAGCTTATTAACAATCGAAATTAGTCACAAGACTGGGCCAAGGTTATTCAGAAACAACAACATAAAAGCTTCTGTGGAAAATATACATAAACATTTAGATATTAGCTGACAAAATATTGTGAATAGTAGTAGAATTATACGATATATATATTTTTAAAAACTTAGGCTAACTTCCGGGGCAACCCTCGCACATAGCCAACTGAAAACTTCCCTTTGCCTTAATGCAGCCATAAAAGGGCAATAAAAATTTTCGTTTCGCGCGCATTTAATTGCTTTCAATTGAGAGCGAGCAGCAGCCAAAGCGACTGCAAAGAAAGTTCAAGAGTTCAGCTGCAGCAACACAAACAACAATAACAACAACAACAACAACTCGAAGAACGGAACATTAATTAATTCTTGGTATTCATTATTGGTGCAGTAGTCGATAGGAGAGCAAACGCATCGAGTTTCTAAAATATGCTGCGATGGCAACGCGCCTCAATCACAGTCAACGTCTCAGCTGCACGAGCAGCCTGAGCACAAGCAGCAATCGCAGTAGCCACGCCCACACGCAAAGCAACGCCTCGGGCGAACAGCAGCAGCTGGTCACACTGCCACGCAAGCGTCGGCCGCGCGCTGTGGGCGAGGTGAGCATCACCTGCCCAACGAGCTGTGTTTACCTGAATGCCGAGCCGAGCTCCAAGTCGGAGCCCGAGCCGGAGCCTATCTATCAGAATGAGGCAGCCGCAATCAGTCAGCAGCGGCAGCTCCAACAGCAACAGCCGCGTCGACTGCCACTGCATCAGACTGTACTGCGGCTGCGTCACGTGGAGCCAGGCGACGCGAGTCGAGAGAGCGTGCTGGTCAGCAGCTTTGTAGGTTCGTTTTGGGCAGCAGCCGAGTGCAGAAGAGTTTTCCCGAATCGAAAGCGAATCAACTATAAACTAATTCCCTTGTCACTCCCTTTATCCACTTCACAGATGACTCGGATCACTATTACGAGACGCTGTCGCCGCTGGGCAATAAGCGCCACTCGACGCAGCTTCTGCCCGGGCAGCATCACAAGCGGCATCAGGAGCGCAGCAGCAAGCAGCAGTCGGCGTCGGCGCATGCGCTGGGCCAACACCAGATCTACTCGGATGACTACGATTCGTTTGAGACAGACAGCGACGAGCCTACGGAGCCAGAACAGCGCCTTCAGCACGTAAGATTCCCTCGATCCCTAAGCGTACAGATCACAGCTAATCCAGTTACATTTGCAGCACAATGATAGCGGCGTGGACATGCGGAATCATCGGCTGCCATTGCCGCCGGCGCCACAGAATCAAGTCTATGCCATAGTGCGGAAGTTCAAGGATTTCATCTCCAGCAAGAAGTCGCACAAGGGCAGCCAGCAGAAGATCTACGAGAATAGTGGAGCACAGTTCTATGTGGAGTGCCGCAAGCGGGAGCCACAAGAGACGGCCGGCTCGTTGAGCAGCTCCGAGCGCAATCTGGTGGCCGGTCAGAGTCAACAGGATCCACCGCAACAGCAGCAGGAGCAGCAGGCGTCGTCTGCCAGCCTGCTGAGACCCAAACAGAAGAATGGCAAGAGTCTCAGATCGAGGCTACGCAAGAGCCTGGTTGGTGCCTCCTTTGATACGAAGCAGCTGGCGGCGCTGACGCCAACGCGCAGCACATTCTACATTGAGGATCCAGCAACGCCGCAGCAGCATGAGCAGCAGGAGCATCATGGCTCTGGCGAACTGGACTCGGGCTTCTCGGAGAAGGCCTCTTCTGGCGATATACCCGTTATGCCGTCAACGCCCAGCGCCGAGTCACAAAAGTTCTCGACGGTCGCACGCAAATCCAAAAAGGAGGCGAAGGCTATGCGACGTCGCACGACCATTGGCGTGCGTCCGCACGATCCCCCACCACCGCCGCCGCCGTCAGTAGAGCTGCGCAATAGCAATAATAGAACGCAGCTGGAGCCACATTCACCCACCTCTTGGTATGCCGAATGCGGCGTCTTCAAACAGTCAACAACAACTCTAACCGCTACACATGGAACTGACGAGCCAGCCACGCCCACACCAAATACCCCTGGAGGAGGCAGCAGCTCGTGGTATACCGAGTCGGGACTGTATCAGACCAGCGGCATCTCCGTGGCCAGCTCGAGCGGCAGCTCAGGAGTCTCCACGGGCAACGAGGCGGGTCTGGGCGATGAGCTGCAGCCACACAGCTTGTTCTTCAACGAGCCACTCTATCAGGTCTACAGCGCAGCCAAGCTGGAGGTAAGTTAACTTATATTGTATCCCAGTATATAAACTAATCTTGTTTCCTTCCAGTCCATTACACGAGATCTGGAGGCGCACGAGAGCTCAACAGACGGGTATGAGGAGATTGGGCAGCATGCGCATGCCAAAAAGGAACCAGCGCAGCAGACCCAAAAGACTCGTCCCAGCGCCTTGCAGCTGGTGGAACCCAAGAATGGGCCATCGCGAACGCTGTGGAGCGAAATACCAGAGGTCATCCATTCTGGCATTCTACGTAAGCATCTGAACTTAACTCTCTGACAATTTCGATTACTAAATATAAATGTCTTGCAGCTACGTTGACACCGCGAGAGCGCGGCCTGCAGGAGGCCAAGTTCGAGATCATGACGTCGGAGGCGAGTTATTTGAAGTCTCTCAATCTGCTGCGTCGTCACTTTATGAACAATACCGCCTTCTGCGATAGCTCCGTGCTAAGCACGAAGGATCGCAAAGCGCTCTTCTCCTACATTGTGCCCGTGCACGAATGCTCGGAGCGTCTGCTTACGGAGCTGGAGTGCTGCTGGCAGAACAATATCATGTTGGTCGGACTGAGCCGTTGCATCTACGAGATCGCTGAACGGCATTTTCATGTGTACATCACATTCTGTGAGCATCAGGGACGCATGGATCGAACACTGCGTCGTTTGAAGGAGGCGAAGACGGGAGCGTTCCAACAGCATCTGGAGAAGCTGGAAGCCAGTCCTAGTTGCTGTGGACTCAATTTACATTCGTTCCTCATGCTGCCCATGCAGCGAATCACACGTCTTCCACTGCTCATCGATGCGGTGTTTAGCAAAGAGTCACCACACAATACCGAGGAATACGAGGGCTGGAAACTAGCCCTGGCGCTCGTCCAGAAGATCGTCGCCCAGTGCAACGAGGCAGCCAATCGCTGTGAGCAAGCCTACGAGCTGGAGCGCATCTCCAAACAATTAGAGTTCCCCAGTCATATACGCGCCCTGGCCATTGCACCTGTGGGTGTGCCCAAGCAGGGCGCCAAGCCACGTTTCCTGGTCAAACGGGGTGAGTTGACTCACCTAATGTGGCGCGGCGATGATGCGAAGCTGACGTTTGGCAAACGCTTCACGAAGTCGAGCATCTATGCATTCCTCTTCTCCGATTTGCTGGTGCTCTGCAAGCGCAAGGGCGACTCAAACTTTTCGGTGTTCGACTACTGTCCAAGAAGCATGTTGACTCTAACATCGGGTGACAATCTACCCCAGCTGCCTACCAAAGACATCAAGGATCCGACTAGCAAAAATCTCATGCTGATGACACTGCTGGAGAACCATGAGCGCAAGACAATTGAACTTGTAAGTTCACTCACTTTACTTTGACAAGTGAATATTTACTTATCTGTTCCTTTATCCAGGTGCTGTCGTGCCCATCAGTGTCTGATCAGCAGCGCTGGCTGGAGGCCATGCGTCCACCGGAGGCGGAAACGCCTGGTGAGAAACTGTACGAGTCGTGGGACTGTCCGCAGGTTATTGCCAAGCACAGCTACGAATCTGATGAGCCAGATGTGCTACAGCTGGAGCTGGGCGACGTGGTTAATGTCTCACGCAAGCTGCCGGATGGTAAGTGCCAATCACCCACCGATGGTAAATCTTAGAGAATTATAAATTTATGCTCATTTTCTCCTATTTAGGTTGGTATCAGGGTGAACGGATAAGAGACGGAGCTGTCGGCTGGTTTCCCGGCAGCTATACGGAGGAATTGAACTCGTCCCACGTTCGTGCACGCAATTTGAAGCAGAGACACCGCCTACTCACCTTCACCGCCACCTATTTGGAGGCCCAAAAGGGCAAATGATTCTCGACGCCATCTCCAATTACGGCTCCATCTAAATGGGCCGAGTATTCAAATCAAATAGTCCATCAATACAGTTTGTATAAGTACATTATATATATATATATCGATTTAGAAAATGTGATAATTAATTAATTGTTTACGCGGCAAGCAAAGAAATCATAAACAGTTACTGCCCTATAAATTATGTGCATTAGTTGTAAACGATGCAATCTGCAATCTGTATGCATGTATGCATGTTAGTTATGTTATTGTAAAATTATATATCCTTATGTATATATATGCAAGTTATAAAATAAAAACGAAGAAATATTAAAATGAGAACCAATTTCATTGAAGCCTAAAAGTAGGCAACACATTTTGCAGGCCGGACCGCTCTAGATCTTATCAGCCTCATTGGATAGCATTCCATGTAAGTGCATGATGATCTATAAAACATTTTTACTACTTACTTTTTAATAAAAATACACTTATCACATTTTGTTTTTGTAATTTGTTATTTCTTTCAAAAATATTTATACAAACTTTTTCATTGCTTACGTATACAGTTAATTCCCGAATGCTAGCCGATGCCCCCACACTTGATTTCAGTATAAACTTATTTATACGTCTATTGTATGGTGGTATAATATAATTAAATCAATTAATAGATTATTGCTGTCATAAATTATTAAATCTAATACAAACACTACGCATAGCTCGAGCACATGATACAGTGGTCGGTCGGTCGGTCTATCGATCGATCGATCGATCGATAACAGACTGGAGTGCTACTAAATCGTGAACATATAATCACGCTAACTAAATCTAGATCAAATAATTTACAATACTTCTTCATGTGACTGCGATGAGTGGGTTCCCTAAATTAAAACGTTGTATGGTATATATAGCTATAAATGTTATTAAATGTTCTTTATGCGATGATCGATGTGTTGGGTGTGTGAGTGTTTCTACAATATATTGTATGAGTGTTTCATTGTTTTTGTTTGTTATGTTAAGCTGCCGTACCTAAGACCCAAACTAAATGTAACCTGCTTTTCCTACACGCTATTTTAATCATATAAATATATATCACAAAGTCAGTGAAAAGAAAATTCGCTGGAGTATTTGCTTGTTTCGTTTTGGATGGTGTGTGAGATGATGATGTTTGATGATGGATGCTTGTTATACTAGATAAGTTTTGGCAATGATTGGGCTTGCTTCGGCGTGATTGTCATCTGAAGCTGATGCCGCATTTACGGCTAATCTTCGGCGTATGAATGTAGGCGATAGACAGCAGCAGTGGTATATCATTCTCCGAGAGCTGCAGCGGAGTTGTTATGTCCCCCAGCCGGCAGGGATCTGTTTCCAGCAGAAAGGCGGCTAGAGTCTCAGACTGCATATAGATCTCCTGCAACTTGGACTCCAGAAATGATAGGCACTGCAAAGGAAAAGCTATTAGTTGAAGCTGTGGAAAGTCTAGCCTGCTATGAACTTACCTCGTAGGCGGGTATGCCTCCTGCGTGCATGGCCTGCACAGCTTCTAGCATGCTGGAAACCAGCTGGGACATGCCCACCGGGGAACTCTGGCCACCGGCATACGGAAACTGCTGTGCCTGTGAAGAGATTAGGCGTACATCCCACTTGTCCATGTCCGCCACAATGGCGATATTCTCCGCTGGCTGTGAGATGAGTGAGGCGGAACGTGCGGCCAGCGCCAGATCCTCGCGTAGATTCATTTCCCACTTACAGGGCGCAGCACAGGTGCCCTGCAGCACCATATCGGAGACGTAGTGATCGTTCACGCTCAGCATCAGCGATGGAATGAAACCGGCGCGCAACTTGTCGCCCGGTGGCTCATCCTCCTGAGGCAGCTCCTTGATACCCGGCACGGGCAGCTTCAAAAGGTGCTGGGACTCATTGACAGCCGCACACTTGGCAGCCACCGAGGAGACGGAGCTGCGCTGGGAGGGCACACGTTTGGGCTGCGCTCGTCTCGTATAGCTGGGCGTACTTGGAGGCTCCGGCATCGATTTCAGCGTATCTATAGAGGCAGCCGAATTGACAGACTGCAGAACAGCGGAGCTGTTGTTGCTGCTCTCGTTATAGCAGTGCACCTCATCCGTTTCGAACTCCAGCTCAGTGGCATTGGACGGCGTCTGGTAGGTGCCACCACTGTTGCACAATATGCAACGGTCGCTGCCCACCACTGTGGCTGAGCTGCTGCTGGCCGCCAGTTCCGCTTGATGCTGCTGCTGCTGTTTCTGCAATTGTTGCTCCTGTTGCTGGTGGAGAGTGACCGTGCTGTCGCTGGACTTCAACGACTCATTGGCCTCCAGCTTGCTGGCCTTATCCATCAACAGATCATAGTTGGACATGACCAGATTCTTGCTCTTCATGTAGTTGGTCACAATCTGCGGATATGTAGCGAAATTGAACTGTATGCCCGAGTTTTTCTTGTTGGCCATGGAGGCGTTATGGGTGTGCTGATGCTGGGCGCACAGCATTGCTGGCTTTGCATCATCTGTGAGATCCTCGTTGCTCTTCTTCAGATTGATCAGCGGCTCATTATCACCTAGGACAAAGACAACGCCGTTGCCATTGTCCGTTGTGGTCTGGCGGCAAATGCCGTGGTCCCGTTCGATGAGTTTCTGGGAGAGATCAAAGTGGATTTGCTCCTCGAGACTGACATTCTCCTTGATGGGCTCAATGCCCCATGTCATGCGATCGCTCTTGCCCATGCTATTCTGTGTGATTAGATACGAGAGCGACAAATGCGAGACTCGTCGATCCTGGCCAACTGGCTCTACCGGAACATTTCCACCGGGCAAGGCGTCGCTCTCCACGGAGTAGCTGCTGCAGCGCCGCTCCAGCTTTTGGTTAATGATCTTCGCGCCCTGCTGCAGATCACTGAGACTGAGTCCCTCCTTCACTCCAGCCGTGGGCACAATGTTCCAAAAGAAGTTCCTCTTGCCCGGCTCCTTTTCTACTGCTGCTGGTGTTGTGGCTGCTCGGCTCTCGTCAAACTCCAGAGCCTCGATGGCGCCATCGTCGATGCTGCCACCGGTGCCGACAGAGCCGGCATTCGAGTCGTCCTCCATGCACAGCTCAACGTTCTCTGGCGTCGTCACCGTCAATCGTATGCGTCCATCCTTGCCGGTGCGCAGATACTGCTGAGCCTGGCGGGCGAGCATGGTCTTCTTATCGATGCCCGTGTCCATAAGGTAGTTGCCAATGCGCAGCTCCTGTTGCACAAAGTGCGAGTCGCGAAATGCCAGCACATTGGGAATCTCATTCTTCTTCAAGGTGCCAATGAACTGGGTATCGTCCTGCTGCAGTCCGTCCAGCTCCTCATCCTCGGCGCTGTGCAGCTCGTCCAGCTGCTGCAGCTCCAAGTCGGCATCGTCCACAATCGCATTCAGATTCTGCTTGCAGGTGCTGGTGCGAGTGAGCCCGGCACCAGCTCCAGCCGCGCGTCTTCGCAGCGTGGGCGGACTCTTATACCGCTCCTGATTGCTCTGGCTGACGACCAACTCATTGATGAGCTGCTTGTTGAAGTCCTCCCGCTTGGCTGCACGCCGCACTTCGCTGCAGCGTATAAAATACGTGAGCACGTTCAGCAGCTTCTCCACCCACATTTTCTCCGAGCCACAGATGATGGTGCGCGCCAACCTGGGCGGCATGCCAATGGCGCCATACAGATCACCCAGTTGTGCCCACAGCGCATTATACGGATGCTTTTGCGAGACCTGCAACAGCTTCGCCCTTTGCTCAATGGCCGCCGCGGAGGCGGAGGCGCTGGAGCGACGCGAGCGTGAGCTATTGAAGGCGGACACGGTGGCCACCCAGCCCAGATGGTAGGTGAGTATGCCAGTCAACATGGTGCTGATGAAGCTGCACGCAAAAGAGAGAAAGAGGGAGAGAGTTTCATAGGCATCTCTTGAAGATGATAGAGGAGCAGGCTGTATGTCTTACAAATTGGAGTCTTTGGTGTCGGCGAAGGAGAGCAGATCGCAGAGCTCCTTGATGAATCGCTCGGCCACAGTCTTGGAGTATTTGCTGCCGCTGGTCGTAATGCTCAGCCAGACGGGCGTCTTGATGCGGGGTGCCGTAAACAGATCGCTGAACCATTGCTGCGCATCCTGCCAGGCCTGGAACATGATCTGCAGCAAGGGCAAAGATTTCGTTATGTGAAATGCGAGAATTATGTGAACCGTAACTCACCTGCAGAAAGTTCTTGTAATTGATGTATGCGTGCTCCGTGCTTGCCCTCAACCGACTCAGCATCGACTCCAGCAGTGCGATATGCTCGCTGCAGAACAGTTCCATCTCCTCCTCGAAGGATTCGCTCATCGTAATGCACACAGCCAGGCCAAGCCTCGGTCTCCGTTTCAAATTCGCCGGCCGGCAACCCATCTCCGGATTACTGCGCGACTCGTTCGCACAGTAGCTCGCCCGCCTGTACTGGGGTGGAGCCATGCCTCCGCCTTCACTGCCGCCAGTGCCGTTGGCAGCTCCCGCTGGCCGATTGCCGTTTGCCTGACCCGTGGTCGCGGCATAGTTGTCGCTGAAGAAGCCGATGAAGTCGTTCTTGGAATGCTCGTTCTCGAAGGAGGTGCGCAGATTGCGAGAGATTCGGCGCTGCAGGCAGCCATCGCTGGCAAACTCATCCAGATGGGGCGAGCTGGCATAGAAGGCCCAGTCGTCGAGGCTGAGCTTGCGCATCGCATCCGACGGATCGGAGAGGACGCTGCCAAGGCTGCTGCGCGTGGAATACTGATACGACCACTGATCCCCACTGGAATAGGGGCCGCCTGTACCGCTGCCACTGGCGCTGGCCGAGTAGCCCGAGTCGGTGGCGTTGCTGTACGTGGAGGAGAAGCGTGGTCCGCTGTCCGCAATGGACAGCGACTGCTGATCGGGCGCGGGCACGTCCAGTGGCGGCGTCAGACTCATATGCCTGCCCACGCTAACGCTGAACGGCATGGAGAAGGAGTTCATGGACAGGCCGTCCATGGAGCCGTGCTCGCTGCAAATGGAGCTGCGAGGCGTCAGGCTGTTCATGGAGACCGTGGAATAGGGTGACTGGCTGCCCGCACCCGCGCCACCTGACGCACCGCTCGCCGAGGGCGTCAGATACACTTGGGAACACAGTATCCTGGCTGGCTGTGGCAGCCAGTGCACCTTGAGCGCCGTGCCACAAAAGGACATGGCCAGCGAGCCGAAGACCATCTCGCCAATGGGCGTAAGATCTGCGCCAGTTGGACGATTGTGCTGAGAGAGAGTGAGAGGGAGAGAGAGAGAGAGTCGAGGTTAGCAAGCTGATGCGGATCTCAGTTTTGAGCTCTGCTCACCTTGTAGCCATACTCGGCACAGACTTCGATAAAGTTGCTGCCGTTGCTGCTGCCGGAATGTGCTTTGGCCTGGATCTTGCCATTCTGCAGCGATGTGAATTTGTCGTTCTTGAGGAATTTCCCCCCACTGCGGTTGCTGCACTGGCTTGATTCCTTCAGCATCACCTTCTGCAGCGCATGCGAGTCGAAGAGCAGCCGTCTGCCATGGCTGTCGTCCTCTTTGTACAGCAGCACGCGCACCTGGCTACCATCGAAGGGGAATTGGCTGCAAACAGAGAGAGAGAGAGAGAGAGAGAGAGAGAGATAATCAGTTGGTGTGCAGAGTAACAAAGTAAGGGGAAGAGCGGAGCAATTGAAGAGGGAAGTAAAGCTGTTGACACTTTGTCTTAACTCTCACGTGAGCATGCGGCAACGGCTTCTGCTGTCTGCTGATGTCATTCGTAAACTTTAATTAATAAAGTTAACAATAAAATAATTCAACTTAATCTTAATATATGATAATCTAGCTACTACAATTTTGATATGAAAAGAGCTTTATAGTGTTAGATAAGTACAAGATCACTGCCAAACATACCCTGTACCCAGCAATTGCTCGATTAGAATGTGCGATCACAGCCAGCAGATACCCTAAAGATCAGTTGTTTATGTAGATCACTTATGACTAGATCTTTCTACCATAAAATACCCTGTAAGCAGCTTCACTACGCTTCAATTTAAATCAACTTTCCCTCAGACTTGTAAGCAATTGATATATAAATAAAAGTAAATATAGTTTATGATCATTTAACAGAAAACTGATATTTCCTTTGAACTCACTGCTAAATTTAGCAATCATATCAGCACTTCCAATTGAACAGCTCAATCTCCAAGTTTACCCAGAGTACTAATAACTTGTACATTTCTGTTGATCTTGCGATGAGCTCAAGTGCTCAAGTGCTCATGTGATTTGATATTTGATGATCGAAATGTGATCCGTGACTCAGATAACTTCTGGACAGACAGCAATTGCTCATCTCCAACACAGCGAGACACAGGGACAAAGCACTCAATTACATAGTCTCTCCGACTGCCAATTCTCCATTTCTGTTCTATCTCTCGATCTATCTCCATCTCTGTCTCTGTCTCTGTCTATGCGAATCGCTGACGACTTTCATATAATGCGCACATCTTAGCGCTATTTTATTGTCGAGTGGGTCATTTGGGTAAATGTTGTCCGCTCTATAAATAGAATCGCTCAGCACGTGACGATTCGTCACGATAAAATGAAAATCTGCCCGAATTGGCTTCGATAGCTACGAAGACTTTTCGCTTTTTATGTTCGTCTGTGTTCCTTCAATTTGACTTTGCTGATTGGGGGCAAAAGTTTTTACGATGCTACTGAACGGTAACGCGATAAGATCGACATCGGCAGTATGACCGATTATTGGATTGCACATTGAGACTATCTGCAATTAGTATTAAGGGAAATCTAAATTATGCCTGACATTCCGTGGGCTTGTGACTCTTCCATTAGGCATTTCGTCACATCCACTTAAATTTGAGGCATCGCAGATTTGAGCTGAATTATTTTTAGTGGGGTTTATAAATGGCTCATCTAACAATAAGTAGCGGTAAATTGAAACTGCGCCAACTGCCTAAATTAGCGCTATAATTAACGAATTTTTTCTGTTTGCTCTACGACTGCCTGTAGTAGAGTTGCCGTTGGGGGCGAGGGCGACGGCGACGGCGACGGCGAGGGCGGGTCCACCTGTTTTATTGCTTCATTTTGTTTTATGCCACCGCGATAAGACGGGGAAAATTTTTGTGTACACATACATAGATTAGTTAGTAGGCCCGACTGGATCACGAGTGTGCCCCCGTCTTTCTAACTAAGTCTATGAGCGAGCGAACGCACGCGTGTGACTGTGTGTGTCTGTGTGTGTGTGTGTGCGCGCTAGCGTGTGCTTGTGTGCCCAGATATTGGTCGGCCCGTTTGTACTCAAAGACTTAGTGGTCACCTAATTGAAATCCAACTTGAATCCAGCTGGAATCTAGACGGAGACGTACCCATAGTGAAACGGCGCCGTATGCATACGCATCGGGCCGATATTAATCGATATGCTCAGATCAGATGCCACCAACTAGCGAGCGTAATTGCATTTACAGTTGCACAAAAGTATAAATTGAAATAACAAACAAACACGAAAGTAACGCGACGTTATGGAAAAACAATCTTAATGGGCGCGATGCTAGACGACAAATGAAGTTCAAGGCGCTACGAATCGTAAACGGTGTCTATTAGGGAATCCGAATCCGAATGGGAATCGGAATCGGAATCGCAACCGCAATCGGATCGCATCGGATCGTCCCGGTAAACGACGATAAACAGAACGAGTCTGAATATGAAACGGCAGTACGAACAAGTACGCGCATGATCGATATATACATACATATACATATGTATGTACATTCTTATATCTTATACATACATATATTATACATTTTATATATAAACATGCATATATGCAGATAGGCAACGATTTGAGCTGGGGCTACGGCTGCGGCTGGGGGCTGGGGGCTGGGGCAGGGGCAAGCGGCATCAATTGAGGAGCGCTCACAGCTCACATGATTCCCGTCCAGCTGCGCGAGCATCACATGTACGGCGCCCCCTGCTATATATATAATACGTATATACATCTAGTCTGGGGAGTGTCAAGCGATGTGATGTGTTAATATATTGTGTTTTAAAAATACTTCACAGTCGAGACAATTCATGGTGGATTTCAGCCTAGAGCCAGCAACGGCTGACGCCCAAAGTTCATCAAGTTTGAGTTAGTGCAAAAAAAAAAAAAAAAAAAAAAAAAAAAATGCCCAACCTTTGCACCGAGTTCTAGGGGGCTACGTGAGCTGTGAGCGATGGAGCTGCCACCAAACTATCACCTGTCACCCTGTCAGCTCGTCACCTGGCGCGTCGATCAACCCAAGCAACAAAAAAAAAAAAAGAGATCAATGAGCACATATGTATAAAATTATCAAGCGATCGCTAAATTTTTCGACTTATCAGCAGGGTCTACGCACTTTCGTTGGCTGTGTTTGTACATGTGATTTTTTTTCTACCGTTCAATTGGCTTTTATTTGTTTATAATAAATGCTTAGTTGGATAGCTTGGATTATATTTGATAGCGTATGCGATCTAATTGATTATATGGCAGTTATATATATAGTTTATCTACTATATTCTTTATCAGTGCAAGGCAGCTAGCTATACATTAAGAGTTTCATTTCAACAAATAAAACATGAGCATTCCAAGTTCTCTTAGAGAAGCTATAAATATTGATGGAAATTTTTAATATAACATCAAATTTAATGTGATATATTTATCAGATGTTTTCATATATTCATATATATACACATATACATATATAGAGAAATGTATTTCACTCTGTATTTTCTATAAATAATGATAAAGAGATTGAGGATCATAAAGATTGCTTGGGAATTTCGTCACAGCTGGAAATCTAATTATAAATTGTTGCTATAATAAAGCTCTTATATATCATCAGATTTATAGCCAGCCTAGCCTAATTATTATCTGCTCTGCACTTCAGTTGATAGCTCCAAATATACGATTTTTTATTTCATTTTGATTATTTTTGCAGAACTTTGTCACCTGACTATAAATCGTAAAGTCAATTGTGAAGAGAGTTTATGAGCGAAAGACACACTCTCTCTCTGCTAAGTCCATAAAAATGTATTATTAGGCTATAGATAAAGGTGAAATACCCATTAAATATACATTTACAGAATATTCCTTCGGCTGAATGCCAAAAGGTAATCGAACCCAGCGCGACAAGGCTGTTGGTAATGATTATTTACAAGTGCATTACTCTATAGAAGAAGAAGAAGCGGTGCAAGGGTATCTGCTGCTTCGGTACACTGTCTGTCTGCAGAGTGAAGAGCACTTGAGCTTCCCCTGTTGCCTCTACTGCCATCTCGCTCTTGCGCCCACTGCTACGCTGCGAGAGATGTTGCCTTCTGCTTGTTCTTGGCATACGCCATGGGATCACATGCTTTATTTATTTATTTCAGCTACGCAAGCAAAACAAAAGCGAACAAAATAAAATTAAATAAAAATGAAAAGAAAATGAACAAAAAAAAAAAAAGCAAGGCAACAGCAAGACTAAGCAAATACACACAAGGCAACACATTAAACTCATATATGCAAAAACTTGTGTATGTGTGTGTGTGTGTGTGTGTGCGTGTGCGTGTGCAAATGGACGCTTGAAGAGCCACTCTCGCTACCACTTGAGGCAGATTGCGGCCTCCGCCACTCCCGTCCTCTGCCAGGCCACTCGACAACCAAGTCTATGGGCCAAGGCGAGCAGTACAATAATTTTGATTGATATGTTGCTGCCTTATCAGCCAACGCGTTGAATTATGCATTGTATTAGCCCTTTGGATTAAATACGAATTGATATTTGTATACACTTACATATATACGTATATATTGTTATAGATGTATATGGAAATATAATTGGTGGCCCATAACCAAATCAAGCGGCAACATCTGTTAATCATATTACACAGAGTGGACTCTCTTTCTCTATCGTGGGTTGCTGTGTGTGTGTTTGTGTGTGAGTGTGTATGAAAGAGAGCGTGCAAATAAAAACAGATTTCCAAAGCGACTACAGCAACAAAAACAATAATAATATCAGCAGCAGCAGCAGCAGCAGAAACAACAACAACAACAACCAGTTGCTCCGTACAACTCGAGTCACATGACCAAACCAACCAACAATGGCGACGATGGCGTCGCTGCCAGCGCCAGCCAGCAACCGACAATGAAAATGACAACAAGCGGTTGCTGCTGCTGCGGCGGCAAAGGCGCAAGAGCCAGGCAGCGGCGCCAGCTGCGACGTTAACGTCCACGGCGAAAAGCTTTATTATTTTATACCCCGTGCCTATTAAGAAGGGGCGGGACAGATTACAAAAGTGCAAAAAGAAGGAGAGCCTAAGAATTTACAGAAATACATAATTAATTAAACTTGATCAGTAATTAGATTACATATATTTATTTATAGTCTGGTTATGTTTGGAGCTTTGTCATTGAAGGTCACTTACTACAGAGTATCATTTAGTCTGTCACTCTTGCGACCTGCACACCCTAATGGCTGTTTATTTCCTTTCTGTTTGTGAGCTACAACAAATTGACTATCATTATCATGAGATGCAGCCATTATAAGTACAGGCATACATATAAAATATACTCACATATATACCTACAG